GGGTTCACTCGGCACCGGTTCATCCAGTGTTTACTTTCCAAGCTCGTTTTTATAACAAGAGGTCTCCTATTCTTCTCTCCGTGTTGGTTGATACAGGTTCGAGTTTATCTTCTATTGCTCGACCTGTTGCCACACGTTGTCGTCTACACTTGCGTCGTGCGGCGGATCCAGTTTTCATTCTTTATGGCAACGGCCGTACACATGCATGTGCACGAGATGAGGCGGACCTGGTTGTGCGTGTGGGCGATCTCGAGCTTGAGTTGCAGTCGTTGCAGGTGGTGCCGAGTCAAGCTTTTGACCTCATTCTTGGTATGGATTGGTTGCAGCACAATCATGCCAAGTGTGACTTTGAGGCTTTTCCCCCTTGTCTCATACTTCCTTATGTTTCATCCATTCCTCTCACTTCTGTACCTCTTCGTCCCTCTACTTCTACCTCTGCTTCCATTACTTTTGTTCCCCCATTATTTCCTCTTGTGTTTCCATCTTGTTCTGCTCTTCCCTTTTTCGATCCCTCCGATGATCTTTGTGTTGCAGCTGTTGATCAGCTCATGAAGGAGTATTCTGATCTCTTTGAATTTGACCTATCGTCTGGGGCCAAGATTGCCACACGTCATCCCATTCCAACCGGGGATGCTCGTCCAATCAAGGTTCCTGTTCGTCGTCGGTCACCCAAGGAGATCAAGATTTTACGTGCAAACGTCAAGGAGATGTTGGAGAAGGGTGTTATTCGGAAGTCGCGGAGTCCTTGGGCATGTGAACCTCATCTTGTGACAAAGCCTGATGGGAGTATTCGTTTCTGCATCGACTATCGTCCGTTAAATGAAGTGACGATCCCGGACGTGTACCCTCTTCCTCACACTGCTGATCTCTTGGATCATCTGGGGCGAAGTCGTTGGTTCACCAAGCTAGATCTTGCTTCTGGGTATTGGCAAGTACCGATGGCTGAAGACGATATTCCTAAGACTGCTTTTTGTACACCATTTGGTTTGTACGAGTTTTTGGTGATGCCGTTTGGTTTGAACAATGCTCCAGCAACTTTTCAGCGCATGATGGACGAGGTTCTTTGCGATATGCCAGAGGTGACGGCCGACTTCATTGATGATGTCTTGATCCACTCGGAGGGGACGTGGGAGGAGCATGTTCGTGATGTTTGTAAAGTGTTGGATCGGCTACGCGACGTTGGTTTAAAGCTGAAGCGGTCGAAGTGCGTGTTTGGGTCCAAGGACACAACTTATCTTGGGTACCGTATTTCTCGTGAGGGTTTGCAAGTTGATCCTGACAAACTTGTGGCTGTTCTAAAGTTCCCTACTCCGAAGTGTGTGAATGATGTGCAGCGCTTTTTGGGTAAGGTGCAGTATCTCGGTCGTTTTGTGGATCATTTTTCCGATCGCACTTTACCATTGCGAGCGTTGCTGAAGTCATCAACGTCATCTTTCATCTGGTCTCCCGATTGTGAGCGGGCGTTCGTGAATCTCAAAGAGCTATTGACAACTCCTCCGGTTTTGGCATATCTTGACTACACTCGACCTTTTATTTTGCGCGTGGATGCTTCTGACATTGGTCTTGGAGGTGTGTTGATGCAAGAGAGCTCGAGTGTGCCTGGTCAGCGCCATCCCATTGCATACATAAGCCGTACATTACAACCAGCGGAGATGAACTACTCCACGACGGAGAAGGAGTGTTTAGCAGCAGTCTGGGGTTTCGAGAAACTTCATGCCTATCTACATGGTTCTCGGACGTTACTTGAAGGTGACCATGCTGCTGTTACTTCATTATTGAAGCGGAAGAACCTGGTTGGTCGTATGGCTCGATGGGCTTTGAAGCTTCAGATATATGATTTCGATGTTGTTCATCGCCCAGAGAGTTCTATGGCTGATGCTGATGCCCTTTCTCGAGCTCCTCTTCCTTCTCCACTCACTTCTCATGTTTCTGATGAACCTGTTGTTCCAGCATCTGTGGATTTTCTAGATGAGGATTCTGTGCCGTCGGCGGTTGCTGTCCTTGACGTTCAGTGTCCACAGGGCGTAGAGCAAGATCTACCTTCTCTGGATGAGGTTCGCGAGGCTCAAAAGATTGAGCCGTGGATTCGAAGGCTTCGAGATGGGTTTGAGAATCCTGCATCACTTGCTGATGACTTGCCTTTTCGGCATTTACATTCTCAATATCGCCTTGAAGATGGCCTTGTTTATTTTGTGGGGACGGATCCTGATGCTCATTTACGGCTGGTGGTGCCTTCGGTGTTTATTCCGCGGTTTCTCCATGCCTACCATGATTCTCCTATTCTAGGTGGGCATATGGGACACCGTCGTGTCACCGAGAAGTTGCGCAGATCTTTCTATTGGCCAGAGATGCGACGTGATATTATCCGGTATGTGCGTAGCTGCGTTTGGTGCCAAGCTCGTAATACTCCCCCTTGTGTTGCGGAAGGACGGTTGGAGTCAATTGCAGTTTCTCGTCCGTTTGAGTTGGTGGCGTTTGATCTTATGGGACCTTTTCCGCGATCGACTGCTGGCAATGAGTATGTTATTATTGCTTCTGACTACTTGACTCGTTGGGTGGAAGTTGGTGCTCTTGCTAGTGCCTCTGCAACTGCTGTTGGATACTTCCTCCTCAATCGAGTGGTGTTCCAGCATTCTTGTCCAGAACGGATTCTTTCGGATAATGGTCCTGCATTTATGGCTGAGGTATTTCATGTTTTGACATCTCGGTTGGGGATACGCCACACTTTTACGAGTGCTTATCATCCACAATCAGACGGTCTGGTGGAACGGCTCGTTCGGACATTCAAAGGGATGATTGCGAAGTATGTGAACTTTCAACATTCGGATTGGGATGGTTATTTGCCGTTTCTTCGGTATGCTTATGTCACAGGGGTGCAGAGTTCTGTTGGTGCTTCACCATATAAACTTCTATATGGTCATGATCCAATATTACCAACAGAGCTAGGTTTACCTTCGCGATTGCCACGAGCTCCTGATGCTAGGTCATGGGATCAATATTTGACAAGCATTCTTCTACTTGTCCGAGCAGAGTCTGCTGAACACTTAGGCCGCGTACAAGTGGGACAACAACGGCGCTACAATTCCCATCATCGTCCACCAGTGGAGTACAAAGTGGATGATTTGGTGTTAGTCCGTTTTCCCCATCTTACGGTATGTGGTTTATCTAAGGGGCTCCTTGTGCAGTGGAAAGGACCGTATCGGGTGTTGCGGCAAGTTGGACCACAAGTTTATGAGGTTCGGCATGACGTTCAGCAGGCTGATCCTCCGGAGATTGTGCATGTGCAGCGGTTAAAACGCTTCATACAGAGGGATCAGGAGCAGTTAATACCGTCTACAGATCCACTGATGCCTCCTCCTGACGTTCCTCCAGATCCCGGCCCATCTACAAGAGAACCCTGACGGCCTTCCATTATTCCGAGAGGAGGGGATGATGTGAGGGCCAAGTGTACGGCTACGATGCCGTATACTAATATTAGCGTAGTGGATTTTGGTAGCCGTCGGATTGGTTTCAATCCGGACCACTCGCTCCTGTATATAAGCTAGGGTTTTGGGGTTAATTGATATGCACATTTCTGTATTTCCTTTCCATATTCCATGCACTCACAATGTCTTTATATTGTATATATAAAATATACAAATATGGCTAGGGTAATCAACCTGTATTTATAACTTGGTAATCCTACTTTATCCCTCTCATTATGTTTTAAGTTTTTTAGAACATAAATATATTACTATTCAAACAAATAGTTTATTAATGGGAACTAAGATCTTAAGTATACTAAGTAAAAATAATTAATAAGAATAATTACAGATAATATAAATATTTTAATGTAAACTTACCTGATTCAAAAATTATTATTATGAATAACAATTACTATAAATAAATATAGTCTGGAAATATTATAATGAATAAAAACATAATATTAAGTCCCAAGTTCAAGCAAAGAACATTACCCAATCCTCTGTAAACAAAATCCTAGATTGCAAGCAAAAGAGTTATATCACGAGCTTATGGGAGTTGTAACTAATAAACTTATAAATATATTGCATTCAATTAGTAATATACACATATATATCATGTGTTCTTAGGTAGATTAAAATCCTTTTAAGACATTTAACTTTAAATGATACCTGTCTACTTATTTGCCATCTTTTGTAATACTTACCTAATTAATTTACTCAACTAATCTTGTAAGATAACTGCATATATAAAATAGTGCATTAGTCAGTGTCTTCAGTGTCTTCATATATAAGAAGTAGACAAAAAATTTGTGGTTTAAATGCTTGATAGATCTTCAAGAAACTAAATTTAACACCATGTAAAGAGTGACCCAAGGTATTTGCTTCCTTTTCTTCTGTGTTTTTTTTTTTCCTGATTTTTATTTATTATTTAATTTTTATGGCTAAATGCAGTTTTTTTTTTTGTTTTTATAATGTAAAGCAATTATACTAACTTCTTTTTTTGTGACTTCTTTATGTTGCTTTAATTTTGTAACCATGTTATATGGGCCACGCTTTCATCATTCCACATTGGCTGCTATGCTCGGCAGGGGTTGCGGCAGGAATCCCAGCGGGACACTGGCTAGCACGAGGAAGGCCAAGTGCTTCGTTTGCGCAGTTCAGGCTATCGCGTTTGGAGCACAGACGAACTCGCTGCTTTTTTGCGATGGTCGTCACTGTTCCATGGCAAGGCGGGGAGATGGCGGGTTGTGCATGGCGAGAGGGCCCTCGCGTCCAAGTTCCTAGCTGGAGACATTCCCGGTCGAGGAAGGGGCGCTCGAAGAGCATCTGGCGGAGACGCTGGGCCGATCACCTGATGCTTCGAGCCGAATCCAGCAGCTGGATTGCAAGGTATAGCAGCATATGCCCAGAATGGGTATTTCTCCTTGCGCCAGATCTCCGATGCCCAGATGCCGGAGTACACGTGGCTCATTGTGAGCCGTTGAAAGGGCTTCATGGAGTTTGAATATATAGCTTGGGGGGAGTTTGCTGGGAGCGCTGGGGAGCGCGCTAGGGCTTCATCGGTGAGCATTTAGCACAGCGGCCGCCGCGGCTCGCAGGATCGAGCGAGTCTATGAGAGAATTGCCGTCTAAGCGCGTGACAAGGTATGTAGTCCCTTTTCGCCTTTCCTTCCCTTTGAGAGCTACGGAGTTTGAGCGCCCGAGTTTCTTCTTGATGATGCCAATTTTACTATCGATGGTGGCTGCTACAGAGTTGGCCAAGTGAGGAATCCACGATGTCTAAGTGCTGCGATAAGGTAATCCTGGTAGTCCCTTTTTCTTGCTTTCCTACGAGCTTTCTCATCTCTATCCTGTGTGATTTAGATGAATGTCGACTTCAGCATGGAGAATGAACCATGGTGGAGAAATGTGGTTGCAGAGATGAATGATATCAAGTTCCCGATCAACCAAGAGAAAACAAGCGAGCAGATGGTAGCTGTGCTAGCAGGTTGTATTGGGCGTGACAAATTCGCATCCAAGACGGCATTCGAGGAGGCACTCCTCAGAGGCAGAATAACGGAGAATGATATAGCGGAGATTCACAGAGCGTTGAACGTGACAGACTTGGACATGGATGGAGAGCGTGGAGAATACCGCACACAGATGGTTTATACCATTAAACTGGAACTCTCTCAAGGTCAACTCCGGAAGAAGGAACAACTCCCCTATCTTCATCCAAGTTTGGTGCGGCAAAGAATGGCATCATTTGTGGACTCCTTCAACTATGCTCTCAACACCTTGAACCTGGTAAGAGCATACTTTGTTTTCATTTTAGTTTGTTTGGTCTTTTTATTCTTTGTTTCTTTTTTTGAAGGAGTTGAAGGCTTCTTCCCCGGAACTAAGAGTTTCTGCTGCTATCAAGCTTGCTGCTGCTGTAGCAAAGGAGTTTCTTGAGATTCATCCTTTTGTTGATGGAAATGGGAGAGTGTCTCGCGTGATGATGGCAGGCATTATGTTCCATGCTCTCGGTATTCACTTCACCATACCAAGGTAATATATTATCTCAATATTCAACTTGGTATTCATCCATTTGTTTTTTCAGCGGCCTGTTTTTCGGCTGGTTATTGCAAAAGAGTCAAGTGAGGAGGACTCCACCGTATGAAGTGGCAACATTCATGCTGGATAAGTTCTATGAGCAGGTTAGTAGTGAATTGTTATGGTGAATGGATTCCAACTGTTCTTCAGGTGACTAGTGGATTCTGCCAGCAATAGCACACCTTGACCAAGGACCTGCAGCATCAAGATCATCCATAAGCTTGGATCACACTCACCTTAGAGTAGTCGTACTTTAGCTTGCTGAGACACAGTAGCATGTAAGTGTCATTTCTTTAACCAGGTAGCAGTGGATTTTTTTATATGGACATCTTATGGTGGCATTGATGGTGTTCCACAGCCAAACTTTTGCAACAGATCGAGGCCGTGCTCCCAAGGTGTTGGAGGTAAGTGCAGCTCTCGGAATTCCTAGACCTGTGTGCGTCTCCGCGAGTGTTTACGGTGGAGCTCAGAAACGTTGCTTAATGCTAGGTGAGTTCCTCCAGGTCGATGCAAGGTTGATTGCAACGTCCTTTACCAAAGGATTAGGCCTTGAAAAGTGTAAGCGTCTGCTTTCTTCTGCATTGTTTCACAGTCAACGTTGTAACTCAACGAGGATTTGTCCAACGAATGCAAGTGTTATTATCCTTGACGAGTTCTATAAACTTTTACGTGTTAGGTACCTCATTTTGTGTTGCATCGGCGATGCAAATGGAAAACTGCCCAGAGCATTCAGGTGACTGTGGGAATGTCGAAATGTTTTCGTGTGATTGTCGCTTGTGCAATTATTGAGCAACTCGCTGGAAACGATAATGTTCTAAAGTATACCAGCATTTTTTTGGGCTCGGATTCCCACGCTGCGAGTCCCTTCCTGCTTCCAAGCCAGAGAAGCTGTGCAGGACTTAGAGCAAAGGAATTGACCATCGATTCTGCTTGGCATGCCAAGATCTGGCATCTCAATAACAAAGGCCACAATTCTCTTCAGGCGGATCCACTTGAAGCTCAAAGTAGTCGATAGGGAGTCACCATATAAACCCTTAGAAGAAGCAGTGAACAATTAAAATATTTGGGGGTCCTTAGATTATATTACACTAAAAGGACTATCCTTTTTACCAGCAATCAGGCTTCCCACCTCCCGCAACTTGCCCGATCATCAGCCACTGGGAACCACAGCTTGATACTGCATAAAAACCAACAAAGCAAGGAAACGAGAAACGAACACACAAACCAAAGATGCGGAAAGAAGCGATGGATCGAAAGCTCAAGAAGAAGAAAGATGCAATCCAGAGATTCTGAAAGCTGAAAAGACAAAACGCCCTAAATTGGACGGCTAAGATCGCAAGCTAATCCCAGCCGTCGGATTTTGCGCGAATCTTTCCACGAGCACCTTTGAAGATGCTGCGATTGCCCTTACTTGTATAGGGTTGGATCCCTAGAACATCTTATGGAGTGGGCGACAGAGCTGCCTGGATGGCATCGGCGGGGATGCAAAAGAGCGTGGGCGTATGTTCCAGAGGTAGGCACCTCCAAACTCTTGCAACAGATCGAGGCCGTGCATCCCAAGCTGTCGGAGGTCCCTGAGCCTAACCTTGGAAAGCAGATGCAGCTCTTGGAATTCTTAGACCTGTGTGTGGCTCCGCGAGCCTTCACGCTGGAGCCAGGCGCCACCAGGGCCAGGATGCTACGATTAAATTACGACCCCAGGGAAGTTCCCCGTGCCATCCCTGCCGGCCTGGTTGCTGCTGCAGATTACATGGATACGAGGCAAGAAAAGGGAGACATCATCAGCCTGGAGGATGTTGTCAAGGTGCACAAGCTTGTGATGATGAATCACGGTGGTGGTGAAGAAGCGGAAGCTGATAGTGATGCCTTGGGCAAGTATATTGATGAGCTCCACACCAAGGTGGGAGCTTTGGAGAATGATCCGAGCCTCAGTTGGCAGCAGCGTGCCCAGCGCCTGATAACAATCGCTGCAGAGACTTTGTTGTGGTTTTTCGGCCACAGGCCATTCAAAGACGGCAACGCAAGGGTGGCAGAGGTGGTGTGCGTGTGGCTCTTGGAAAGCTTGGCACCTTGTGTGCCATTTAGCATCAATCTGTGGCTTGCATTAGATGAGGGAAAGATTGGAAGTTTAGTTGGGTGCCAGAAGCAGCAGATGCATAAGAATTGCTCATTTATACCATTACCATCAGGCATAGAAGATATATCAGCATATATTGTGGAGAGGTTGTGGGTCGCTTGGAATAATGTGCTTCGTTTTGATTCTGGACCAGTTGAAGATGAGAATCCCTTTGAAAGTTTCTCAAAGTTAAGTGGTACTTTTAAATAGTTTGGCATTTCAAAATTATATAGTTTTACAAAAAGAAAAAAAGTAAAGTTATAAATTAAGATTGGAGAGATTAGTGCTTTTAGTTGTACTAAATAATTTAGAAGAAATAAATTAAATAAATTTTATTCTCTATGTCTATGTCATTAAAATTTATATTTAATTAATAGTTTGGCATCATTAGGGATGAGTATTGTCAAGAGGTTGTATGCTCTCAAGGTAAAAATAATCTAAAAATATTAAGATTGATATGAAATAACACCTCATTTTGATTGTTGAAAATGACAATTCCTAAAAGAGTTTCCAAAAATTATATGATCTATTAAATCATTTTTCTTTTTCATTATTATATAGTTTACAAAATAAAATTAAATAATTAAATAATATAAAACTTTTTCATTGATTCTTGTGCTGTTGTCACAAAATTAAAGTAAATATTTTTGAACTAGATAGTTTATTATCTAAAATATAAAAAACTAAAAAATAAATAAATCTTTACTCAATCTTGGCATTTTGATTACTAAATAGTTTTACATTAAAAATATTTTTAATTTTATAAAAACCTAAAATTAAAATTAAAAATAAAATAGTATGTATAAAAATCTAAAACACTTTATTATTTGTAATTGTGATGTTTATACAAATATTGCTAGAATAGTTTTAGACTCATCTTAAGACAATTTTTCATTATGAGTGTAATCCTAGTTTATCCCTCTTGAATTTATAATATATTACTATTAATATAGATTATAAATAACTTTGAAACACAAAGATATGAAGAAAAACAATTACATAAATGCTGAAGATGTGCAAATAGGTATATTAATTGAGGATACAAATTTAGCCCCAAATGATGGTCTTTAAGCCTAAAAAGGGTAATATACATATATACATACATGTATACATACATACATACATACATGTATACATGTATACATGTATACATATGTACAAACATTAAATTGTGGAAAAAAATGTTTAGAAAGCCATACATAAATAGAAAAGAAAGCCATGTATGTATGTATATGTGTATATGTGTCTATATATATGTATATGTATATGCATATGTGTGTATATATATGTATATATATGTCTATATGTGTATATATGTATATATATGTATATATATATATATATGTTTATTTATATATATTTATATATGTATATATAGCTATTGAAAATTACTTTTTCAATACTTCTTTATCTACTTTTTTTTTACAATTTAAACAATGAGAGTGTTTCTAAACATTGTTTTCCTTCAATGAGAAGATAAAGAAGATATAAAAGATGAATGAAATGAGTCTGATCTCACATATAATATATGGGACAGTTACACACAAAGTTAGCTGGTTCATTAAAATTTCATAGTTGATTTATGCTTTTGTTATGGCTTTATGTTCTATTTATATAATTGTTGTCAAAAGTTACATTGGCAATTTCATGGCAATCTATAATCTATAACCAAAAGCTCTAGATATTCCATTTAACCAATATTTTCATCTTTTGGAGTGAAAGATCATGTGTGTGTGTCTATATATATATATAGA